TGTATTCTTACATCAAGAGCCCTGCCCTAATGTTGTAAATAAATCAGAAACTGAGTTAATTTTTACTGGAAATCAACTATGGGGAGATTTTGACCCCTTTGGAGGCATGGCAGATGTTATATTTTTCCCAGCACCTAGTGTGAAGTACCTAGAAAAGGGTGGTAGGAGCTCAAAGCACAGGCTTGTGACAACTGGGTGATACATATGATTGACATGTAATAAGTGCTTAATAAGTATAATGCATTGTGGTTACTATTTCCTTTTTGTTGTTTTCATCTTTGGTTTGTTTTTGTTGTTTTTGTTCCTTTTGGGAAATGGAAGGAAGCGAAAGAGGAAAAAGAGGGAGGTTGGGGAAAGAGATGTTATGAATGGAATATTTGTATGTCTTCCCCCAAATTCACAAGTTGAAATCTGTTCCCCAGTGTGTTGGTATTTGGAGGTGGGGCCTTTGGGAGATGATTAGGTCATGAGGGTGCGGCCCTCATGAATGAGACTAGTGACCTTATAAGAAGAAGCCAAAGAGCTAGTGTCCTGTCTTTCTGCCATGTGAGGATACAAGAGTCAGCCACCTGCACACCAAAGAAGGGTCCTCACCAGAACCTGATCATGTTGGAACCCTGATCACAGACTACCAGCCTCCAGGACTATGAGAAATAAATCTCTGTTGTTTATAAGCCACACAATCTATGATAGTTTTTTATGGCAGCTGGAATGGAGTAAGACCAGAGAGAACATGCCACTTACCAACTCTGAATGGGGGATGGAAAACCATTAAGGACAGAAAAGGCGATGGCAATTGATGTGAAAAATTCTTTAATCATGTTCCTTAGCAAGCAAATGCAAGGTGAGAAAATAAATTCCTAGAGCTGGGAGAACAAAATGCCTACCCTATATTGAATGAGGCAGGAAAGATGCAAAGAGAAGAAAGAGTTGTACAGGACGAAAGGACAATGTTCTCCTTGTATCCCCTCCTCCACACCATGAGTGGAGGCTGCCGTGGCTCAAAGCTTGTTGCCTGAGTCAAGGACCAGATCCCAATTTCATAAAGTTCCTCTAATGATCCATTGCCGTGCGGCCATGGGCTCTTCCTTCAAACAAGTGACCTTGGCTGGTTATCTCCATGGTAACAGCTCGCATCCCAAACTGTTTCTTCCTGTGTGGGAGGAAACATTTCAGAAACGGGGAAAGGCGAAATTGAACAGTGGTTTTTCTCTCTTATGACCCTTCTTCTTTGGCAAATCATATCCTTTTCCTGAACGTTGCAGTCTCCTGAGGAAACCATGCACAGAAGAGAAGGTTCAGCGACTTTAATTTGCAGATGTCCATCCAGGATACATTTTAAAAAGTAGGAGCCTCGAGCTGCTTTCCCCTAGTTTCGGCAGCACTCAATATTTCACAGGTGGTTTCACCATTCTTGTCATTAGCAGCTCTCCCACCCCCAAAGAGAAAGACCAGCATGTCTTCCTCATGGTGAAAGAGAGAGACCGAAGATCAGAGAGACTGGGTAATTTCTGCACAGCTGTCAAGCAACAGAGCCACAGAGCTCATCTAGAAAGCCAGACAAAATAAGGCTGAGTGAGTCTCTACTGAAGGTCCATTTACACCCTGCCTTCCTGTGGTCCACCCCCTGCCTGCACCACCATCCTGGTCAGTGAGCTGACAGGTCTCCTTCCTGCCCTAGGCTCCACTTCCTGTCCCATACAGTCCCTGTGGTTTTCTCCAGCAGGATGCCTAGACGGGGCGTAAGGCAAATATAAGCTCTGTCTCTACCTGGAGTATCAGTTGCATTGTAAGCTCCATGTTCTGTCTGTTCCACAACGTCTATGATCAGAGCGACATTTTCAGGATGATAAATGACCCTTCTCCAGCTGAGCCCTGGATGTGTGAACCTGATCACAAAACCCTCCAGTTGCAGCTCTCACATGTACCATGGGGTCTACTCTCCAACCGGAATCATGAGCCAAGAATACTCTTTCCCTGGCCCAATTTCAGCCTTTCCCAGTAATCTGGATCCCATGGTTCTGTCCATGAAAGAAAGCTTTTCCTCTGCAGCATCCCCGCCTGACTCTGACGTACAAAGGTGTAATTAGAACAGCATGGAACAAGCAGGATGATCCATTTACCTCATCCTTAACATTTAAGTGCTTTAAAATATGTTTCTAATATCCTAGGTGCATGGGGCCAAATTCCCTTCTCAGATTTTCACATGCATGAGTAAATCCACACAGACTAAACCCCTTGGGCCTTAGGTTCTGCTTAGAAGTTCTTTTTTTTTTTTTAAAGAAAACAAATATTCCATTAAAACGACATAGTGTACTCTGCATATTTTTAGGACAATTAGAGTTTAGAATTCCCTCTTCTTCCGCTCCTGGTTTGGAAAAAAAAAATTGTTTTAACTCTTTCCTCCCCAAGAATGACATTATGTCTGGATAAATCGAAAGGCCTTCTTGTCTTTTAAAATCATGTCCTCGTCTTATGTTGTTGAAATAACAACTGGTGAACTGGGATCCCTGATGCTTTGGGAAGAATCCAGGCTCCACTGTACTTTTGCCAGATAAAGATTTTAGGGAAACAATTATTTGGGAACCTAATGGAAAACATTTACTTGATACTGAAAAGCTAAACTCACAGGAAACAGAAACAGAAAAGATAAGGCCACACTCTACCATCTGCTTGATTCAAAACGGGTCACTGGTTTCGGTCATTTTTCTTCAGCACTTCTGACTCCGTAAATGCAATCATAAAAGAGAGACTGCGGCGGGCTGGCGGGACCTCAGTCTGGGGGACAGAGCGAAAGCAAGACAATAAGTGGGAGGAGCGAAAGGGTCACGTGAGGGAGGGTCGGGAGCGCCAACCCCGGCTCTCCACCCCACGTGCTCCACTGTGTGCAGAAGCTTTGCCGCCGTGCGCACCACAGCTCCCTGCCTGTTAGTCTGTGCTGCTGTGGCCACTTGTGGGTAATACTTGCCTAGTCAAACTTCTTTGCCCGCAGTTGCCCTTGTCACTTCTCATGTTCAAATTCAAGGGCCCCACAGCCCCCAAATTTAAAATGAGAGGAGGATGTAAGACCCATCTGCAGCCTGGTTTTTTGTTTTTGTTTGTTTGTTTGTTTTTATTCATTGCAAAGCCTATCAAAGGATGGGAAAGCCCAGCCCCGCTTCCTCCATGACTCAGGCAGAAATAAGATACACCTTCCCTCCAATGTGACCCAGGAAGATGACCCAGATCCAGAGAAAGCTTGGGAAATGTCTGGGATGTCCTGGAAACTAGGAATCCTACCGCAGAATCAAAGAGAGAGCTCGTAACTTCTTCAAGAAAATGTGTTTGTTTATTTAAATTAAAAAATAGTGTGAAAATTACAAACTGTTAAATACAGAAGACAATTTTATACAACTTAATAAGAATAAAAAGGAAGTATATACACCACTTTTTTAACAGGCGCAGATAGAATTGCACCAAACTTCAGGATTAAGCAATGGAAAATGTGACAACGCACATGTCCCTCGCAGTAAAGCTTCAGAATTCAAGTGATTCCAGGCAAGGGGCCAAACTGAACTTGGCTTCTTTCACCTCAAACAGCCCCCTTTGGAGTAAATCCACACTCTGAACTTTTAAAGTGAACGGAGGGCACTTTTCCCCCAAACATAAATGTCCTCTAGCACTGCAGGAGAGCACTGATAAACTAGCTCCTCTACTGTTAACCCTTATGGGAACAGTAGCGACTGCTATCTTCAATGGAGCAAGATCACATTTAAAAAAAAAAAAAATTTGTTGTTTTGTTTTGTTTTTACTAGAATTAAACTTGACCTTTCGATGTGCTTCTCTTCCTGCTTGCCTTTAAGGTCCTAACGGGTTTGCTGCAAAGCTACCGAGGGCAGGAATACACAGAGACGTTAGCCAGCATTCCTGAACATTTGCTTTTAGACTTCTGGTTTCTCAGCTGAACTATTAACATTCTGCTACCCAGGGAACTTTGCAGAGTAAAATGTGGTGTCAGTCTCCCGGGTTCACTGCTGGGAAAATGACAGCAAAAACCGGGTGGCGATTCACCCTGAATCTCCCAGTTACATGTGTTCTGAGTTTCCAACTGCTCCTTTAAATAAGCAGATCCGTTCTCAGACTAACTGGCCAAGTGGGAAATATTTTGTCCAAGCTTCCTCACACCAGGCCATACAGGATTTATCACAGAGTCTTAAAATCCAAAGACATCCTCCCAGCCCCCTGGGGATCTAGATTCAGGAGTCTCATGAAGGCAGTAAGCCTCTTGACGACATGCCCAGGACCACACAGCACATCAGTGTCAGGGCTCGGGATCAGAAAACAGAACCTGTACCCCTGCTTTGTACAACCTCCATCTGAGTATTCCCTTCAAGGTCTCGGCTATGTGACGAAATGCCATATCACGGAGGCCCACTGTATGTCAGCTCCCAGCTCAGAAAACTAGGCTGGGAAAAAAGTAGCAGCAGAGCTAAAGATTTGGCCTTATGCAACCCCATGTCACCCCTTCTAGAAAGATCAGGAAGAGTCCCCTGCACAGCTCTTCAGAATGCAGGTTCGATTTTGGGGAAGCCCGTCCAAGCAAGAAAACATCATGCCCGCGTACGATGCTGGATGGTCTGAGGTCAGAGTCCAAGGTCATAGGTTAGACAAAGGGTCAAAACAGCAGATTCTGTTTTCTAATCCCAGCCAATATTAACAGGTTTAAAAGTTGCTTTTTTTTTCCTTACAGTATGCAAAAGAACCAGGTTTGAATCTCTTTCTGCCATCAAAAGTCCTCCATTAGACATCCCCCTGTAACCCAAAAGACCTGCAAAGGAAGCTCCATAACCTGACGTGAGCTACGGCCACAGGTACACCGTAGAGGTACTTACAGTCCAGATCTAGAACAAAGCTCTAGGCAAATTAGCAAATCAAAACCAGTCCCTCCACATGTCCTAGGCATTGGGCAGCCCTGGGAGTGGGCAGATGCCCTGGGGCTTACCCAGGACATTCGGCGAGAAAACAGCAAGCACAGAGACCTGCCAAATTCGGAACTGGAACTCCAAGCCCCAGACCCCAAAGTCAAGGTGCACACTGCCCATCTTTGGGGCTTTCCAGGGCCAGGTCTACACCACAGGCCCGGCGTGGATTCCTGGCTGCTGACTCCCACGGAGTCTTGTCCCCCACCGCCCCCATGCAGGGGCTCGCCAACGGTCTCTTTAAAGTGGCAGCTGCCCTGCCGAAGTGAAAGCAGACACGGAAAGTGTCCTTCCCCTCTCTAAGGGTGCTGGCTGACGGGGCCGCCTCCCAGGACCCTGGGGGTGCTAGGAATTCTGATGGATGTTCTCTGAGGACCCTTCACTGCTTTCGTTGAGGAGCGTCTCTGAAGTCTCCCCCAGCTCATCATCCGCCCCCTCCTCCTGGATGGTGAGGTGCACGTCTGGGGAGGAGGACTCAGAGCTCACGCTGTCTCCTTCCATGGAGCAGAGGGTGCAGGACAGGGCGGGCGCCACACTCTCCTGCAACATGTTCAGCATCATGGGCACCTGCACCGACCTCAGGCCCGACACCATGGGCAGTGGCTTCATGGCCTCCCCCCAGAGCCTCTCCTCATCTTTGTACAGCAGCAGGAGGCTGGACTTCTTCTCCCGCCTCTTAGATTTCATATAGCCCAGCATGATTCCAATCAAGAAAATGCCATAGAAGGACATGACAACCAGAACGTAGAAGTATTCGTTGCCGTTGCCGCTCTCACTGCCCGGCACGTGGGACACCAGGTGGCTGCTGGGGGCTTCGGTGCTGGGGTGCGTGCTGTTCAGAGGCTCCATCTTCAGCATTGAGGCGCCACGCACACGTCCAGGGTCTGCAGAGAAACCTGCAGGTTAGAACTTGCCCACAGGCCCGCAGTATAGGGAGGAGGCTGAGCGCGAGTTTGTGGGATTGCCGCATCAAAAACCCTGACAACTGCATGGGGGAAATCCTGGTAGGAAGGCGCACAGAATAGCTAACGGGGGTTAGCTGTGAGAGGCTAGAGTGAATGGAGGGAAAGGGAGGGAGGCATAGGGAGAAAGGCGACAAGGACTTTCCTTTTTTAGGATATACACGTCCTCATATCTGCATTTCATAAAGCGAGCGTGTAAAAAGCATTGCTTTTGTCGTTTTAAAAGCCAAAGGGAAAAATCAGCCTAAGACAAGGGAGTTTAGAGAAAATAAATCACGTTTTAGTCACTGGGAAACTTTTTCTAACAGAGCAGAGAAAAAAAAAAAAAAAAAAAAGGAAAGAAAGCGTCTCCAACATAAACCTATTTTTAATTCAAAACTGGGTTTCCTGAGAACAGAGAAAGGGAAGGAAAACCTCATCTACTCATTGCACAGAAGAGCCCTCTCTCAAATGTTTCTGAAGCCAAGTTGCATTGCTAACTTACCCAAGGCTGGCAGATTCTTCTGATTTGTCCTGAGTTGCTAAGTGGCCAAGTCCAAGAGCGTCCTTCCTCTCTGCAGGGCTCCGTGCTCTGACAACTCTGCCGCTGCCCTTGGGATATATAGTCAAGAAATGCATCGTCACGTGTTCTGGGAGGAAGATTTACAACAGAGGTTGTTCGTGGCAGAGTGAACAGCACTGCGGTTCAATTCACTGAACTCCGCAGCTGTGCACAGAAAGAGACTGGGAATCGGAGACCGCTCCTCACCGCCCCCCAGCCCTGAGCCAAAGTTTCCAGGTGGCCCTGAAAACGAGTGGAAAGAGGAGAAAAGAATGTGCCCTGTTGGAGCTGTTATCCCAAAGTGCGCTTTCATTCAAAATGAGCTCCTGCTGCATCTCCCTCTCAGGGAATAACCATGATGCCTCTGCAGATTTTCAGAGACAGTCAAATACCATTGTCGGGATAAAAGACAGTTGGAAGCAAGTGCAGGATTTACTGTCAAGACACTTGCGCTTATGTTTCAGTTCTTCCACGAACCATGCAAATGTCATCAACCCTTACTGAACCTTTCTGCACCTCAGATGCCTGATCTGCAAATTTGCTGGGTGTGGGAGCTTTGACACGGGGAATCAGATGAGCTGTTGGAACTTCTGAATCCCTGTCAGCTTCATCATTCTAAGATTTAAGGCTGCCTGGTACAGGGGAGCCTTTTTAATACCCGTCTTCTGCATCAAGCTCATACGTTTATTTTTTATAATTAAAATATAACTTCCAGATTCTCTTCAGTCACCTGCATGAAGTGAAAATGGGTTACAACGCAAGACATGGTGAACAGGTTTTCTCCTGTTCGATGGCACAGTGCTTTTCCTTCGCAGCGTCCCACAGAGACCATCCACACATCTCTTTGCTGTCTCTGGTGGGTCAGGGGAGGAGCAGAAATTCTTCTGGTGACCTGCTGAGCACAGTTCAAGCTTTTAAAACCTATGCAGACCTTGTGTTAAAATAATCGCTGTGATCAAAATTGGAAAAAGGAATTGAGGACTTTGATGTCAGTCCATCCGCTCCCCGGGATGCTTATTCTGAGAGGCTATTATTCTAAGTTAAAGTAAACTGGGAGGGAGGCTCTGTTCCCAGTGGTCTGGAGGCCTATGAATTGCAGCCAGACTGTCTTGGGGAATCGACTCTAGAGAAAACATTTCTCCTGGTTCTGGCGTCGTCCAGCTGAAGCGGGGGGCGAGCATGGCAACATCCCTTGTTCCCATCGGGAATGTATAGAGCCCATGCACTGGGACCTTCATGGCGGCTACATGAACCCACCCAGGTTAGTGCCTGGCCCTAAGTCTGTCGGGGTACCTGTGGAAGAAGCAGACTAATGAGTACGTAATGCTCTTTCCCCACTGGTCTCCTCACCCGACGGCTGAGGCTGTGTTCACCCATAAGTCCCCAACTGGCTCCAAGGTATAACTGTTGAGCACCCCAAGGCCAAGTTCATCTGTACACTGGACCTTTGCTCACACCAATCAAGACATCCTCACAGTGCATCAATACTTGAAAAGCTCCACAGCTACCTTGACCGAAGTAGACTTGGCCTTATCAACTTGTATTTATCTTGAGTACCTGAAAACTTCCATCTTCTGCTATGCCTACCGTGGTTTGTCAGGGTCATCAGAACAAGAGATACCCGGGAGAGACAGGGAAGGACATGCCTGTTGATCGTGAACCCCATACTATAGATTATGTTCTTTGGGACATATGAGTTTAGTAATCACCCATCAACAGCCAAACACGGCAGACTGGAAATTTTGAGGAGGCAGACCGGAGATGGAAAAAAGGGAGAGCAGATTTAAGGAGCAAGGAAGCATGGAACCTGGTGCCAGGAAGACAAACCAAAGCCAAAGTTTCAAAGAAGAGAAATCCCCAGAATCAAACCAACAGTCCCAAGACAGTAAAACCAATAAAAGACAGATGAGGACCAAGAATGCAGTCCAAAAGACAAAGCAATTCTGAGACATAAGGAAGAGCAAAATCTTTCACAGGCATAAGGGAGGGAACAGTCCAGATGAAACTCTGCTGGATGCCTGCTTGGTGTCTCTGCTTCTTCAAGGACTCCATGCTGACTCGATGTATAGCTGTTTCTCCTACACATCAATGAAATGATGCAAGGCACTTAGCGCCCTATTTGCCAGATGGATGTGCTCCATCGGTACTTTTTGGTGTCGTCTTTGAGAGTGCTTTGTTGCCAATTAGAACTTCAGGTTGCTTGATGCTCATGTGCTTGACTCCAGATTTTTTATCGTTGCTCTTTCCTCTCCCACCAAGAATACAATTTAAGTTGTGGGGCTTGCAACCTCATTACACACAGCTCCATCCTCTCTCCCGCTCTCACTCTTAACACTATTATGAGAATTACGGCAGTAAATAATGGCATAAATAGTGAGGGAGGAAGGAAGAGCCTCTACAAAGTGCACTTTATCAGGGAGAGGATGGCGACACACAAGAATTATTAATTACATCTACTCTATGCCACAGTGTTAAGAGACAGCAATGTTAAAGAAGTAAATACATCTTCCCCATATTTTCTCCTAGTCTATGACTCGCATTTCCATTTTCTTAACAGTGGCTTTTGAAGAGCAAAACTTTCTTCTTATTGATGGAGACCAATGAATCAAAATTTTTTATGGTTTGTGTTTTTTTGTATCTTAAGAAATTTTTGTCTAACCCAAGGTCACAGAAATTTTCTCCTATGAATTTTATAGCTTTAGCTCTTACACTTAGGTCTATGATTCATGTCAAGTTAATTTTTGTATGTAATGCAAGGCGCGGATCAAGACTTATTTTCTTGTTGCGTCATCCAACAGCTCCAACATTACGTATTGAAAAGACGATCCTTTGCCCATTGAATTGTCTTGAAACCTTGATCAAAAATCAATTAACTGTATATGTGTAAGTCTATTTCTGAGCTCATTATTCTGTTCTTTTGATCTATCAATCTTTGTATCAATGCCAGGCTGTTTTGATAAATCCATTCTAAGCTGGCATTTTAAATGAGTCTAAGATTTCTGCAGCCTGTACTTAGCTGAGTGTCTCTAGTCAATTGAACATTTGGTGAAGGCTTTGCTTACCTCAACCCTGTGAGGTAAAAATTACCATAACCGTTCCATACATAAGAAAACAGAAGGTCAGAGAGGCTAAGCAAATTGCCCAAGCCAGACCAAGAGTAGTAGGCTAAGGATTCAAACACAGGTCCGAACAATGCCAGAGTCCATTCTCTTTTTCCCTGCCCTTTGCCTCACTCATTGAGAATCAGGAAAGGGACTGAGTAAAAGTAGAAAATAGAAGATGGGTTTTTTCCAGCTTTCTTTTAAAAAGTGAATTCCCGGGGCACGTGGTAGCTCAGTCGGTGTAGCAGCGTCTGTGTTCAGCTCAGCTCATGATCTCAGGGTCCTGGGAATCCGTGCTCAGCGGGGAGTCTGCTTCTCCCTCTGCCCCTCCCCCTGCTCTGGCTCCCTCTCTCTCTCTCAAATAAATAAAAACTGTAAAATAAAGAAATAAATAAAAAGTTAATTCCTATGTGGCCAGATGTAAATACAAGTGTGTATTTACAAACTGACTCAAGCATAAATGCTATCATGCAATTGCAAACTGTTTATTCTGAACTCATGCTATCAGAAACTTTGGGAGCTACACCAACCTTATGTAGTATGTTCCAGAAGTTATCAGTGAAATAGTCATATTTTTAGCCTATCTCCATATTGTCCTAGTAAAACAGTTTCCCTTGTGCTTATATTTACAGCTGATTTCTGATCTTGTTTTGATTTTTTTTTCCCCTACCCAATCCCGACTCACAACTTTCTCCAGAGCTTTGAGTATTTTAACTTCCTGGTAACGTCATTTTCACCAAATGACCCCGGCCACACATCTCTGAAATTATGTTAGCATCTTCTGTGACTAAACAAACTTGGTGCTGGGATAAGAGCATCGTGGTGAGTCTCATCAGACTGAACGTAAGCCTGGAGTCCAGAGTTCTGACCCCACTCGGCCTCCCCTGTGCTACGTGACTGACTCAATTACATCATTTCTCTGTGTTTCAGTGCTGGCCCCTCAGGCATGTCAAGACTAGGATAATTAATTGTCTCCAGATACTCAGAAATGTCCCATAATCCACGAGGATAGCCATCTTCAGAGTAAGGAACAGAGCAGGACAAGATATGGGATAACCAGGCTGCAGGACTGGTCAAATATTGCAAAATGCAGCTCTCAGTGTCCACCCCTGATGTTGCTGTTCCCAGAAACCCTTTCTGAAAAGTTGTGTCTGGGAACTCTTGCTGTGGTCATCCCTTGTAATACCCTGAGTCACCGTCCCTGGACACATGCTTTGTAGCATTCCTAGCACTTGGAGTAAAACAGCCCTGGGTATCTGCTAGTGCTCAAGAAATTCTCCAGACCCCTCCTAGAGCACCAGCTGTGTCTCAGGGGCATGTGGCTGTAGGCAGGACATCACCCACAAGAGATTAGGATGCAAGAACTCGGCACTCTTAAAATTGGAGAATGCCTGATAAAGTTTGTCATTAACTTGCCCTTGTTATTTATTCAAACTCTATTTTGCCTGGTACTTATTTAGCAAATATTTGCATAGTGCCTGAAATGTCTCAGGACTGCTATAAACACCTCACCATTTTTTTTCTTATTTAATCCTCCACAAAAAATGCTGTGAGATAGGCTCTGGGATCATCCCCATTACATGGATAAGGAAACTGAGGCACGGAGTGGTTGGAGTAGCTTGCCCGAGATCACATGGCTAGTACATGGCAGAGCTGGCCCCAGAACCCAGAGCTGAGATTTTGAATACAGAGTCTTTGAGTCTCACCACCACCCCGCATGGCCCATTCTAGTTAACTGAGTGTCCCAGGCACAGCACTATGCCCTGGATCTGCAGGAGGTGAGAAAAGAGAGAGAGAGAGAGAGAGAATCTCAATGTCTCCTGCAACCTGCAACCTGTTGGACACGGAGGACTGGGCTCATATCTGTACCTGGAAGAATCTGAAGAATCAGTTCTGGCTCTGAAGAAAGGCTGTTGAGTAAGGAAAGCTCAGGCTCCCAGAGTTTAGTTCCTGATAGGACAGATGTGGGCCACACAGGAGGGAGCTCAGGTCTGTGTAGACCTGAGATACAGACTAGTTCCTGCCCAAGATGGCAGCCCACGGGCTCAGGGAAGAGATTTGTTCCCCACATCCAAAGAAAGTGCCTGGAATGGAGGCAGAGCCCATGGTCCTCCCCAACAATGGCTTTCAGTCTTCCCAAGGCCCAAGGGGAGGGGAGCACTTAGGGAGAGGGAAGGACAGAAGAAGTTTAACTGTAAA